CCAGCCCGCAAAACGAGCACACGGATCAAAGCCCTTTACCTGAAGAAGACCGTAAGAAGCTAGCTTCTGGAACCCTGACCGTCTACTGCAAACCCCAAACTCAGCTTGCTCGATCCGAGCCATGGCAAGAATTAGTATTACTATGGGACGTGCCCTCCGCGTCCCCCAACTTAACCCAAAGCTCCGAACTCACGTCCGAGATGCCCTGGTACGGACAGGCCTTGTTAACTTGTCTTTCTTTCCTTTCGTCTATCTGTCTTGTTCTAATGCCTCTATGTTTCAGACTGCCGTGAACGACGACGGGCCTCGCTCGAGTGCGCGCGACGAGCGCGCGTCCTGGGCTTTGCAGCGTTTATGTGATGGTTATTCTCGGAGTTTAGGCTTCAGGGGCGGGGAGCTGAGACCGGAAGGCCCTTCCCCCCCGTCAGGGCTAGTGACATCAGAAGCCTGGCGACTTGCAAACAAAAAGGTACAAGTATGTTTCAGCTTGCAGCAAGGCCAACCGTGGCGAGCCTTTGCAACTTTACAGAGTATTCCCATCATCTGCGCCTACTCCTAGTGTCAGAGAGCACCCAAGACACCTCCAAGGCTCGCCTGAAAGCCTTTTGTTTGCCAGGAAGCGAACTGCGAACGTTGCTGGTGACTCGGGGTTCCGTTTTGGGCAGGGTACACCTTGCGCCAAGACCCTAAGAGTGACCCCAGTTTAGCTAAGCATCAGCTGCGACGCCTGCTGCTGTGCCTGAGCCATCTTATTCTCGGAGGTTTTCCAGAAGATGGTCTCCTGTCAAGGCGAACTTGGCAAGGCAAGACTTGGGCCGCTGTGACACGTGCAAAATCAATGGCACCACCCCCCAACCGTCAGCAGTCGACCACCAAACAACCTTTCAACTTTCGACCTCTCGGACACCACTACAGCCATCAAGATACCTTCAAGACTCCCCGGCCAAACAACTAAGCCCGAGCCTTTCTGGCCCGGCTTGGTGTGGCGTCTAGTTTGAGCTGCGCCAAGCTTCCTTTCGAGAGATTCTTGGCATGTGACAGATAGAAGATTGACTGGGCAGGGAGCTTCACCAGCTCAGGCTTACAACAGTGATGCCCAAAGTCTCAGAGCCCGCATCTTCACGCCAACGGAACGGCCTAACGACTCTCAGACCCTCGGAATCCCGGGTGGTGATTTGCTTACCCCGTGTGCACCTACGCTTGCTCTCTCGCCGTTCTCCGCGAGCTCAGCAGCGGGCTCCTGGCAGGCGACTTCGAAAGTGCGATGAAGATGTTTCAGACATGCTTGGGCTCGAAGATCTCTGTGCAAACAGCGTATTATTCTTTGGGACGAAAGGCGCGGAAACATAGCGAAAAGTAGCCGCGCAGCACCGTGGCACAATGGAGTTTGATGGCAAACGCTGGGAATTGCACAAGATGTAAAGGCAAGCTAGCACAAGCGAAAGAGCAAATGCAGCGCCCTTCCACGAATAGAAGATAGTCTGACGAGGGGGCAGACAGAGAGGCACTGCCATTGCAACAAAGCTCGACTTACGACCCGGTGAAGATTCGATCCTAGCTCTTATGCTGCGTGGAGCAGTCACGGTGAAAGAAATAACGACATGTAGTGAGCGATACAGCAGAATCAACAGGTCACTCTCTTGTATTTGCTGTCCTTTTCCTGTGCCAACGAGTATCATGTAGCTGAATGCTGGGTCTTGAGCATTGAATGGCCCAGCGGCCCCGCAAGCAGCAAGTCAACCTAAACCCTTCCAGCCAATTGACCCATCCCGTGAAATTCTCTAGCCGCCCTGAACTCGTGTCCTCGACCTCCTCCGGGGCTGTCAGCAGACTTATCGTCTCCTGCGCAATGAAGGGGCCTTTCTCTCGACTGCCATGGCGACCCTTGGCTGAGCCTCGCTGGCCAGCTGGACCGGCAGGGAGCCCCGGTGAAGCAAGACCTCGGAAAATGCCCACGGCACGCAGACACCTGCAACCTGCCCATGACCTCTTCTGCAATGTGCAAGCGGCGTTGAGGAGGTCGTGCTGCTTCGCGAACTCCAGCTCCAGATAGCCTTAAGAGTCTCAAGGGTGGCCAGTGAATGTTCGGCATGGGTCCTAACATCCTGGGGGAATTGCTTCCTTCCCTCTCCTGTACATCATGCCCGATCACCGTCCAAATCTCAAGCACATCACATCCACTTCCCGCGTTCTCTGTGTGTACCCTCACACCATAAGTCAGCTCGAGTCGCTGCGGAGCTCCCTGAATTGCGCCGCTGGCAGCTCAGAGACCTGCACAGGGATGTCCAGGCCCCAAGCTCCAGTACTTCAACCTTATTCATGGACTGCTTCAAGGATTGACGCCAGTATCCGCCCTATCTCCAAAGCTAATGGAGCCGTCAAGCCGTGATGGAGATTGGGACGATTGAACTTCTTTTCGGGATGTTGAGATTCTCTCTGCTCGCTTCGGAGTCTAGAGGTGGGGCTGAGCTGTCTCTGAACTCGGCGCTTCTGCACCCGGGGGTGTTGAAGTTTGAACTAAGCACAGAAACACTCCTCTCTCCTCTCGGCTCGGGCAGGGTCCCGTCAGCGTGCCTTCTCATGCAGGGGGAAGTCGGCGCTCATGGGCTTTGGCAGCTTGGGCCTGGGATGGCCTGGGCCTAGCGGGGCCTAGCGGGGCCTAGGCGCTAAGCCGGCTAAGCACCTAAGCTGGGCCCGGGATCCCCTAAAAAATCCGCCGGGATGTCGGGATTCAAGTGGCGATAAGCCGAGCTCGGAAATCCGACAGTGGGGGGAGTAGGACTGTACTCAACTTTCTCTGAAACTGCTTCGCATGTGGTCTGCTAAGAGTCTGCTGCGACTGGGCGCGTCATGCCGCAAAGAAGATACTTCACGCCTGCATGATCCTCCATGCCTCGCGCATGCTGCTACGCGCTGGCGCTTACACTCTGTCTGTTTTCGGAGTGCTTTGACTCGGTCGTGAAAGCCTGGTGGGCGGCACCGTGCAGTTTCCGAGGCTTGTGAGTTGCATGGTCGTGCGTTCGATATGCAAGAGCCTAACTCTTATGGCAAAAACTGTCCGCTGATATGCCCGGGTGCACAGCATCAGGCTCACATGCCCTGCATCGTGCCGGGATCGCTTTGGATCCAGGTGGGCGCCAAGAGATGATGGGCAAATGTCGACTGAAAGTCGAATGGTGGCTTGCTCCGTGCTTGAGAACTTGATGCAGGTTTTGAGATCTCATGAGAGTGATCTAATTCGACCGTGACTGCGTCCAGAACATCCACGATTCGACCTCTGCACACTGAAGATAGAGTTGTACGCCATCGGGCCGACGACCGAGGACAGAGTTTAGGCACCACAATCCCTTGGCCATCGAACTACTGGTTCGAATTTTCTGTGAAACGTGGCGTGGTGCAAAGAAGCACCGCCCCCTGTACGAATGTACAGGAAGCATTGCATTAGCAAGTATCTTGCGCACGAAAGCTTTGTGGCACAAGATTAGGTTGAACAGAGTTCCGTGTCAACATTAAAACCGGCCTTTTCAGTAGCATCTTCAGAGCATCAAATCTTGACTGCATTGAAGTCAATCTTCAAGAGATCCATCTGCTGGTAGAGCTCTTCTTGGTATCACATTGACATGCATGCGCTTCATCATGTGCAGTCATGTCAGTGGCTTATGGCGCTGATAAGCTAGGCTGGCATAGGCCAAGACTGTCAAGCCTGTCTGACGCATGGAGGATGCAGGAACTTGCTGCCCGATGCCTTCAGCCAAGTCACCCGGTTTGATGTGACCCCGATTTCTGCGACAAAGGTCTGCCACATGGGCTAGAGCTTCCTCAACAAACAGGACGTTCAAGAGGCACACACCAGCCAAAGGCACAGCAATGTCAGCACCATCTGCAAGAGATATGGACTTCGTCTTGAGGCCAGAGCAAGATAAGACTCGAACTCCAACCAGTCATGGAGGTCCAGTTCCTGTGTAGCTGCTTCTGGCTTCAAGCAAGAGAAAGCCCGAGAAAGGAGAACAAGGCTACTCTGGTCCAAGGTCTTATCCCTTTGTCTGGGGAGGTGCATGGGAGAGGATCTCCTGTGCAAGAACAGTCGGGCCCTCTCATCGTGGTATGAGCACGCCTTTACATGTTTCGTGTGACTGGAATTCAGGTGCCCCAACTGGCAGCAGGCCGTGGCAAGGTACCAGTAGCTGGAACTAATTTCTGAGGCCTTGAACCGCCCAAGAACCAACTGACGCCGGCGGCCAGCGGTCCTGGATCTTCTTCTGCTTCTCCGGCCCGAAGTGAAGGTACTCTTTGCCAGGACTGTCCAGGGGGCTTCCGTGCGGTGCTCAGACTCCAAGAAGCAAAAACAACACAATCCTAGCTTCAGAATCTGGAGCTGCTGTTCGCAACAGTGTTCGCCGATCCACTGCTTGCAAGCTGAACTATGTCTCTGATACATCCGGAACCCACTTTTCAATTGGCTGTTGTTTTCCGTACAAAAGCACCTATCGCCATCTCGTGGACTCCCGTGCAATTCCGACCACGGAAGGCCCGCCTGTAGTATCTCACTTCGTTTGGGTCGTCACCGCAGGCGATGGGATGGCCCCAGCACGTTGCCTTGTCAAGGATGGCGCTCGCGTCCTGCAGCGATGTGAGGCTGCTCGACCCCGCTCTTGTGTGCAATCGCGCCCCCGCGCGCGCGGGTGTGAGTGAGTGAGTGAGTGAGTGAGTGAGTGAGTGAGTGAGTGTGTGTGTGTGTGCGTGTGTGCGTGTGTGTGTGTGTGTCCGTGTGTGTAAGCATGCATGTATGCATGTAGGCCTGTCTGTCGGGGGTGATGGATGGATGGATAGATGGATGGATGGATGAATGCATGGATGGACGGACGGACGGACGGACGAGCGGAACAAGTACGTGCACATGTTCAACACCAATATGGGCATGCATGCATACATACATACGTACGTACATTCATACATACACACAATACACCCATGCATACATGCTTATCACGAGTGTATATACACATGAATTACGGCGTATGTGCATATAAAGTCTAATACACATCTAACATGACGTGTACTAATATGATATAACCTAGGGCGCAGTGTAACATGATATGTGACAATACATTCTAGCATACATTGTCACATCTTTATCATACAGTGTAATACAACATAACATAATATAATATAACATACCATATTACAATAGAACACAGTACAGTATAACTTGTGTATATAGTACTAAAATGTATGTATATGTAAGCATGTGCAGAAATAGTTCTACGTATGCATGCATGCATGGTTATCTGCATGTCTGCATGCATGAATGAAACAAGTATGTCAGCATGTATGTACGCATGCATGTATATATTATGCATAAATGCATCTGCACATGTACTTATGCATGCATGTGTGTGCTTGTATGTACCTGTACACACACATGGATGCACTTGCATACATGCATGTGCAGGTATGTATGCGCTATTGCTTGGAACCTTGTGGCGCGATGCAAACTTGGCTTCTGGCCTGCGCAACTTCAGAATCCTGGAGAAGCTTGGGCAGGTAGTGCAAGCACTTCCTCAGGAGGATCAAAGCTGGGTGGAAAAAACACTGCAGCTGCCAGATCGACACGATCTCGAATCTCATTGCTACAGCAGCCCTTGGCACCTCGAGTTCTGTTTGCATTGCTGCTTGAGTTCTTCACGGCCCCGGTTCTCCCGAAGCCCTGAAACCGAAACACTGCCAGCAAAGTGGCACTGTAAAGACGGGGTTGCAGTTGAACCAGGAAAATATCCAGTCCTTCTTGCAGTTTAGGAAATCACCTCAGGCAGCAGATACAGCAAATGCTGGATCAGGGAAATTGATTTTGCGCGTTCCACAGATGACCTTCTCTGCTCTTAGGTTCTGGGGCTCTTGAGAACCACCTCGCAAAATCCTGCATGGCTCCATGTTTCGTTTGAAAGCACGTCAATCTTTTTTCTCTAGCTGAAACTCATTCCTGCCGAGTTGCCATCCCTCGCATCGGGGCCCTTCTCCATGGATCCCGGGTGCAGAATGACGAGACAACCAACCTGCGGCGTCTTTTGTGGTTTTGAGATATCATGCTTTTTTTTCCCGGCATTTTGGTACTCGCGTTCGCGTTTGTCCATGCGCTCATGCCAAGAGGCTTGGAAGTTGCATGCGCAGGCAGATCGCAGCATGTTCGAAAACTGACATTTGTCTTAGTAGTTCTGCACATCGCCTATGAACATCCGCAATCTCCTCATCGTCAGCTGCTCCTTCCGTCAATACATCTGTTGTGCCGGATTGTGGTCATTGCTGTGGTTGCTGCTGCTGTGGTTGATGCTGGTTGTGCTCTGGGGTTCGACACCGCTCTTGTGACTGTGGATTTTACTGAGATGATCAAGTATCACTATCGTCATCATCATTAGTGCCATCGCCATAATCAGCCTCCTCCGCCTCCTCCTCATCATCACTCTCGCCATTTTCAGTGATCTTCCTTCATCAGCTCTTATTGTGGTCCAAAATGAAACGGCTGGCGATTCACATGGCTTCAGATTTGATATAGTGCTCGTCGACGCCCACAGCAAGCTGTTGCTACAAGTAGCGCCGCTGCCTCTACTTGTACTTCCGCGCGTCTGCTTCCAGCACTTCAATAGCCGAAGGAAAGTGATTGGCGCTTTTGCAAGTCCGTAGTGGTAGTGGTGGTAGTAGAAGTAGCAGCAGCAGAAGCAGGAGCAACAGCAGTAGCAGAAGTAGTCGCAGTAGCAGCAGCAGAAGCAGTAGCATGTAGTAGTACTGCACTGATGCGCTGCTGCTTCCACTCGCAACGACGACGACTGGAGCTGCAATTGTCTTCGAGCGTCCAACTGTCATGTGCCACGGACTTAGACTCGGGCCCAAAGAAGGCAACCAGCAGCCTCCGAATGGAAACGGATGGATTACTGTGCATTTGCTGGACATGCTCGGCCGCTGTCTTCACACTTCTGCATCTACCATGCTGAATGTCAGATTGCGTGAGAACTAGACCGTCAATCTGCCACGGACATCCGCCCCATACAGCTTTTCCGCCAGAGACTACGAGTAAGGTCTGCACATAAGTGGCGAAGAGAATGGCCCACTTCTGCCACAGCGGAGCGCCCTTCAGCACAGCACCTCTGCCGACACCAAATCTCAACCCAAGCTCGTGTGACGACTGTCGCAGAATCGATGTCGAGATGTCGAGCCCGGTTCGGCTTTGGCAACTCCCCATTGCACTTTGAGTCATCAAAGTACCTATGTACGATCTTAAGAAGCCTCTTGTCATCCCTGCTCCGGAACGCCAAGACTCTAAACTATGTACCTGGGAAATCGAGGCAGCAGCCTGTTTGCAGCTGGACTACACTCAGACTGTGACAGTCCCTACTTCATGCAAGCAGACAGTAGGTCACCCTTATTGTCGTACGGTCGTACCTTCGTTGCAAAAAAAGTGTGATCTCCGGCCTGAACGAAACTCCCAGGCCACCGCACAAGTGGCGACGGTTGAGAGCGCCGCTCCCCAGACGATCCACCTAGGCTAGGGCAAAGGAGGGTCTATAAGTAAAGATTCAAAAAAAGCAACAAAAAACAAATCCAACAGCAGCTCAAGAGACGTGCCAGGTGACGTGCAATGGCAAGCAGTGGTGGCCCCCGAAGCATGAACCCCTGCTGAGCATCCCACACATTCCAGTCCAACTTGTGAGTGCTGTAGAAGCCAACCTGGCCCCAAAGCTCCGGCCATGGAGAGCTGACTTACCGTGTGCAAAACGTGGCCAGGAGAGCTGATTGTACCCGGAGGTGCATGAAGCGGCTGTAGCCAAAGAAGAACACCGCCCAGGCTACGAGGCCAGCACCTTTTCCCGGCTTGGGTATCGGAATTCATGAGGGTGCTGGACCCCCAGTAGGGCCTGCTGCACATTTAGGGTTGCCGTAAAATCGTTCCGGGTTTCTCAACAGTTTTGGGACTTCAGGTGCGGTCCTTTGCCCCGATTCATGTCCCTGGCGTGCGAATCGAGACAAGAAGAGTTGAAGTGGAAGAAAACTGAGGCGAGGACTCTCCGTCCAGCCTGACAGAGCGCAGTCAATGCGCCCATCTGCCACAGGCTCACGGCTTCCAACAGCTCTTTTGAGCTCGTGGCTGTTCATTGACACGAAGAAGAACGTGAAGAAGACCCTTGAAAAGAGGTCGGCAATAAGATGTTGCAACAGCCTGTGCAGGCCTTCTTCCAGCTAAGCACCGTGCAACAAGGGGTTCAAGATCAAGTTGCTGTAGTCCCAGGGCAAGCCGATCCTCATGGACGCTGGAGATGCTCTGCTGCTACAAGACATGCAAACTGTGATGTTAGCTGGAACGACTCGACCATGCCAAAAGCGTCGACTGTGACAAAGCATTGCTCACATGCTTGTTTTGGCCGCTATGCTGCTTTTTGCTGTCACCTCGCATTGCCTCGCATGTTTGTAAACATTCTCTTCAAGTGTCTGTCCAGCACGAAAGCCCATCTCGGCACTTCTCCTGTCGTACCTTGGATACGGCTTGTTCAGCGCCAGTAGTGGATTTTACAGACTGCAGGTCGGTTAAATCACTCCCCTTCAGTGTCGAATGCATGCTAGGCTGAGCCTCGCCTGCGAGGCCAAGTAGCAACGATCGTTTCGGGCGACAGATGGCTGCAACCACAGTCATGGAGGTTGGGCTGAGAAAACAGCGCAGCACACATGGATCCTAGCATCGGCTAGGTGAAGGGGTCTGAACGCCTTTGAGCTTGCTCTTTCTAATTCTAATTCTTCCGAAGAGATAGCCAACAGGCGTCTGAATGCAAACGCCTGCCTTGTGTGACCTCCCCGCTCGAAGATCAACACACCTGATTGCCTCCCTGCCCAAGCTCCACAAGCACGAAAGCATCTGCGACATGGCATGTCTCCAAGTAGCTCCTTCAAGTTGTCTGGCGCCCATGGCAAGAGCAACTGCGCAGGCGTAGGCTTAGAGTGACTACGAGTAGAGTGATAAACTCTCGCCGATCGCCAAACTGCCCCGAAGCCTTCAAGAGCTTCAACAGCAGGTCCGGCAGACATTTCCAGACGTAGATGATCTGCAGACATCTCGCCCAGCAAAAAACTCAACATACACACACAATGCACGGTTGCGCCTTGGCGACCAATGTGACCTGCCGACACGGCAGCAAGAAACACTCATTTCCAACGGCTTCTTTGAAGCGATGCTGCAGTCTTCCGTGGCCTGCACATACTGCACGATGCATCCCGTGAGGTAGCCCATCCTGACGAGAGAAGGGGCACATCGCTTCTCTAGCCTGGCCTGGCTTAGCGCAAAGATGATTCTGAATGGCTGACCAAGGCTCAAAGGGCTGACGAAAAACTGGCCGGGAATCAGCATCAAATACCTGAACAGTCCGGACGTTTCAAGACGGGGGCATGGATTTTCAGACCTCGTCGCATTACGCTTGTCGCGCCGCACCCCCTCGTTGTGCTCTACCGGCTCTACCCAAAGAGTTCGCGTCGAGGGCAAGGCAGTAGCCTGTGCCAAGCTGCAGCTTGTACCCGATCTCCGACTCCAGACCCACAGACACACTCCTTGGACCGAGGGCATTGTCAGAGCAGTGCCCGAGCTAAAAAAAAACCTGCAACAAGAACTGAGTTGTGCAAGTCGAAGGCTCGACAGAGTGCTGAGAAACGCCGACACGCCAGCTTGGGCCACTTCCTGCCGGCAAGGATTGCCGAGTTCCGAAGCCAACCCATGGACCCCTTGCTTTGCAGCCCAGACATGCACGCTGCAAGCCGCCATGAGGCTCTATGCACCACTCATTGCTGCAGGGGGCTTTAACGATGCTTGAAGCTCTTACGGCGCAAAAGCGAGACTGATACCAGCTCTCTCGACTGGTTCAGACAACCTTGCGGAGGTCAGGCTTAACAGACTTTAGATTTACGGCAGGTGCTGCGACTGAAATTCAGCCCAGTCCGGATCCGTCGCTTGCCTGGGATGCAAAGCAAGGCAGATTACAAGCATTCAGTTGTTATGCTAGGTGCATAAGAAGCTTAAACGCTACGAGCACCCCGAGAGTCTTCCTATTTCTTCGGAGCTCCTGGAGCTGGAGCAGCGAGCAACATGCAATACGTTTTCTCTGGTCGTTTTATTTCGTTCATTCGCCGAGCTGCACGGCGTAGATGGTGAGCGCCAAATTAAACATGGTGTTGCCTGGGATTCATCACTTGCCTCTCTTGAGTTTTGCTGCCCGCTTCACGTCACAGAGGCAGAGAGAGGCGGGTCCCGGCATCATTCAATAAATGTTTGAGCCACGGCGCAGAGCGTGATGAAGAAGTTCACGTAGAACAACCAGATATCAGCTCGATCCTTCCCACAAGCTCTGTCTTTCCGTGCTAGACAGACCGGCTTAGTTCCACTGGGTTCATGCTGTGCAGCACCATGGCACGACAGGCTTCGCTTGCGTCAGGGTTGGACTCGAGCGTGAACGAAAGCAGAGGCTCCGCCGTCATTCAGGGCCATGAGGCATCATGTGCCCGATTCTGAGACGCTCCTGATGCGGATGATACTCCACCAACCTAGCATGAAGCGCCTTGCGGTGGTAGCCAACCCCATAGGCAGAACCGTAGATTTGACCTTGGGTGCCGTTCCAATCAAGAGAGGAAAGCTCGGCTTGCAAGGTTACTCGGCACGCACGACAGACACCGGTAGATGCAGAGAAACCTGGCATGGGATGCAATGATCATCTCAGGGCTGCTCGTCGGACCATAGACAGCTAGCTCTTCAGCTCCTATGTTAAGTGTTAGACTATTAGACATATACAGACATTTGACATAGACAAACAGAGCGCATCTTTTTTTTTCTTTCAGGGATGCAGGCAGGATCACTGCCGAGAGCCAATGGAACGGCTCGAGCGGCTCTCCGAGCCGCTCTGCAATCTCCAGGCAGTGCTGTCGTGAACAGTCAAAAGCAACCCAACCCAGAACAAAAACTATGCGCTGCTTTACTGGACCTGCCGTGGTTTTACGGAAACTGTGGGCGTATGAATTCCAAGTCCTGCAGGACGAGGTGAGACACCTCGTCTTGCACATGAACCCCCATATTGACAAGTCTTATTACAGTGAATATGCAGTCAAGATACTACATATATACCATAGCTAACACAGAGGCTAGCTCCTTCGCTCCTACCAGAGCAAAGGCTAGTCATATATATATATACACACACACATATTGTCTACACGAGATCCGGCTCCAGAATCCCATTGGTGTCCATTCAGATCTGTTGGGGTTTCTCTGACTCGGAGGGAGCCGCTCTTTCTTCCGTCAAGAGGCTGCCCAACTGCCCGTTGATGATGGCCATGATGATGCCATTCAGCATCCTGGGACTCGGGGCGCTGGCAAAAAACCGAGCGGCAAGGCTGGCTGCGAGGGACTGCACACTGTTTTAGGTTGCCAGGACCAGAGAACATCTCATACGTATGCCTGTAGTTTTAAACAGCTATGGTATGGTTTGATAGGCTAAATTAAATTATGAAATTATATGTGTATGTGCGTGTGTGTGTGTGTGTAAATATGCTTGCATGTACGTGATTGTGCTTATGTGTATGAACATGCATGTATGTATATATATATATATATCTGTGTGTGTGTGTGTCTGTGCGTGTATATGTATATAGACATGTACACATACATACAGACATACCAACATCATATGTGTGTATATAAAATTGCACTGGCCATCGTGGATTCCGAATGTTGACATCAGCGTGGTGTCGTGATGGGCCCACCAGCGCTGCTGCCGGCTGCCAAATATGGCATGAGAACATACCTCAGTACGCACGGTCTGCATTCCCAATCTATGACCGCTTCAACTGCACTCCACAGAGCCTTAACTACATCCAGGATCGCAAATCGTCACCCTGTGTTTGAGCTCTGAGGGTCTTCACTGCCCAGCATGTCAGACGATTCCGAAAGAGCAAAGACTGCAACGCGAGTTCGAGACTCTTCGCATGTCCAACACCCAACCGGGAGCTGTATGAGCTGATGCTAAGAAGCTTTGGCAGACTCTAGCAGCTTCTTTCCTGCAGGATGCCTCTGTCTCTCTTTGCTTTGCTTTGCTTTGCTTTGCTAGGGGTGTGAGGAACCGGCAGTCCCGATGCCCCGTGTTCTAGTCGCTTCCCCATCCATCATGTTGATGGGAGGGGGTCTGCTGCACGAGGGAGTCGGTGCTTACCGACGCACAAGGCACGGTGTGCCACCGAGGAGGCAAGTCACCCGCGTTTCAAACACAGCCGAAAACAGGCTCATGCCAACACTTGACCTTACAACTTGGCGGGTGCCCCTGCCTAGCAGTCCTGCAGCTGTATCCCTCTCTGTCGCTGTCGCTGTCGCTGGCTGTGTGTCTCTCTCTCTCTCTCTCTCTCTCTCTCTCTCTCTAGAATCTGTTTTTTCTCTCCCTTCTGCGCATTGAACTCACAGCCTCAAGGGTTCAAAACCTTCACCAGCCTTGACAGAAGCTTCAGCTTTTAGCTTCCGAAGTCCAATGGCTTCGTGGATGGCCTATCCGAAACAACAGCTCCTACCCCAATTCTACCAGAAGCCTAAACCACCGAGAGGCCCTCTGTTGCCGAGCCGCCTGTTGAAGCCAAAAACCAAGACGTTGATGCCCACGAACATGAGCAACACCTGCGTCTGTCGACGTCGCTCTTCAGACTTCTAGGGTCTCAGGTGCAAAGTTGACGATATGCTCAGGGAGAAGGGGTAGCAGCAAGCAACTTGCCAAAATATCGCAGTTCCTGATTCTTTTACGCTGTCGGAAAAAGTTTCTCCAGGCTTCGCAGGCGATCTGTGCACGAACACTCCTGCGTAGGCATCATCACAAGAGGCAGCAGGCTTTGCTTGACTCCGCGCCTTGCCCAGTGCTATCCTCAGGGACAGAAATGAAGCGTCACAACAGAACGATCCCAAGTATGGCCGTGGAAGACCTTGCGTAGGTGCTATGCGAGTACTGCCTTTACGTGCAGGGCATGGGAAAGCAAAGCGCGTCTTTGAGGCATGTGAATTCTGCACAGGCTCGGCAACAACAAGCAGTCAAGCAGTACCTAGCTAGGAATTCTCTTGGACGGTTGGACAGATTTCTTTCAGCCCGCGGTCCATTCTTTCAGCCGGATTGTCCCCTCGGAGACTGCCAGATTCTCCCAAAAGACATCTGGTGGCTCGGAATTCACCACGGACACCTGCCAGGCATCTCTATCTCCTCCTAGGCTAGTTCAAGGGCGGCCAGGGGACCTCCCCCGTACCGGCCCACGGCAATGGCTTAACAGTTGATGCCCTGTCTAGCAGCCTCGCATGGGTGCGAGGGATAAGTCATCGGATGTTTCAGGAACACTTTCTGTTTTCATGCACAGCCAAAGTCACGTCCAGAAGCAGACTACGCAGCCTGCGCCGAATCAAAGAGACTGAGTGGAGTTTCACAACGCACCGAGCCTCTATCTTCTGCGACTCGTACATGAAGATCGAATCTTTGGCTGCGTAAGTGCTCATGATGGCATCCTTCAGCGATCTTCATCGACTACCCACTGTCAGCGATGCAATAACAGTGAACAAGCTCTGATGCCAAAGCCCACTTTAAGTCTGTACATGTCTGTACTTGCAAGTGTTTTCAGATGGTGTAGCGGTTCTGAACACATGCAGGACAGTCACAACGCCCCAATATCTCTTACTGCTCTGCTGCAGTGCTGGTGCATGCTGCTGTTGCGACTTGCACTTGCGCTTCGTCGATGTCACTACTCATGGCACAGATGCGAAGGGACACCAGATCTCACCCACAACTCGTCGTGTCTTCAAGATCTAAGCTCCAAATCATGTCGTTTCACGGCCCACAGTACGGACATTCGCCTTGCACAAAACTCACCTGAGTCGTGTCCGGAAGCTACTCATTTTCGCCGCTCCTTGCCGCTGGACTTCGTCAGGATCAAGAACGCCTGACCTTGTGACAAAGCCAGTCCCCGGCCGCTGGTATCTATCCCAAAACGCAGACAGATGCTCTTTTCGACGTCTAGAGACTGAGCTCTACAGCCTGCGGACGACATCGAAGGCTTTCGCACGAACTCGCTCACTCCGACCTTTACGTAGTCTTGGCCAGAAGCGTGCGAAACCATGTGTGAAGCGAGGCCCGTCCAGTCTGCAGCCGAGGGCAAGGACGCTGGCACTCGCAGTGCAAATCCAACCTTTCCCATGAGGCAGTGGCCAGTGCCCTTGAGCTTTTTCTCTCCGTCGAACCACGCAAGTGCCTGTGCAAGGGTGTGTTCTGCAGTGGGCCATGATGCCCTGAAGTGATGGTTCCTGCATTACAAAACACTGATCAGCCGACAGCGATGCTACTGGGAACCCCAGGAGTCGGGAGTGGGGCTGTCGAAGTACACTAGTACGGCATAGTACTATGGAGTAGTAGTAGTAGTAGTAGTAGTAGTAGTAGTAGTACAGTAGTGGGAATACTAGTACAGTTGCAGAGTACAGCAGTAGGAGGATGACCTGGAGCCGCGTAGGGTGGTTTCAGGCGACCTCAAAACCTCGAAACCAAACCCCCGATCACTGCAAGAGATAACTACAGTACCAATTCAAAAAACGTGATTTCGAAGACTTTGAGTCATTTTCCTTCATCCTACACTCCTCCACACAATCCACCCAGGCCGAGGCCTAAAGTAAGTAGTACAGGAGAAGTGCCGCAGCTGAGGGTGTAGGGGCACCTAGATCTGTTTGGGGGGGTGGGGTTTAGAGGGGCCATTCAAAATCAAGGCTCTGGCCTCCTCCTGTTCTCTATCATGTAGTCAGTAAGATTACCAGTAACAGATAAGACTAAGCAAACCATCAAAGTCCGCCGGGCGGAGATGAGCGCATTATGAGGACGGTCCAGAAATCTAGGTCACCTACTTAAACTCAGTGCCGCATGAAGTACGCTTAGCCATGCCCTGCGATGCTGAGTTGGTCCCACTCGGAGTGTCACCGGGATTCTGGGAATTCCGGATTCCTCCGACTCTGCTTGCCTTGCTGCGATCTTCAGAGACCTGCTTCTTGAGCTTCTCAAGAGTCTCCTCACAAAGAAACAGCCTAAGTGCAACTGTCTTCACCACAGGCCAAGAGCATTCTTCTGATGGCTCTGGGCACCTTCATGGCATCCAAATGGTCGTCTTCCCCGAGCATGCCGCCTTTGACTTTCAGCTCGATCTCCGTTGCGCTACAGAACCTTTGGCACGTCGCGGCACCCCACTTATGGGAACCGTCTAGCATACTGTAGGTCTCAAGACAGGTCAATCTTTTCCTTGACATGCTGGCAACTACAATCCAAGTGAGATGCCGTTCTGCTGCTTGCGTTTTCGTCGCGACGTTAGGACTTGCTGCCGTCAGTCTGTTTGCTGTCGGTGAGAAGTCGCTCGGGCTGGGTGCTGTAGAGCAGTGACCTACTGCATCAGGTCTCAGGTGCTTGTCCGCGCTCCCCTCACCACGGCAGTATGCCCAGTTCAGTTTACTTCTTCCGAGTTTTGGAGCTTCCACAAGCCACCCCATTGTAGAAGGACATTGGCCGGTTAAGCTTCAGGGATCTGCGACACCGGTCATATCGAGATCGGAGAGATCCGAAGCCCGAACCATGAACGCAAGGACGACACGATCTCCTGCCCCTCAAAGTCCCCCCCTTTTCCGTCGCACCTCTCGAGCATGTCATAGACGTCCTTTTTCTGCTGCTGATCGCCTTGCCAGGGCCAGGGTTCCTCTGTCGGGACTCTTTGGAATGGGTCAGATCGGGAGAGGGCGGAGTAGTTTGAAGTTGCAGCGAGGCAGAGCGGCAGAGCTGTGATGGAAGGCGCAAACAAGCTCACCTTAATGCGTCCGCCAGCGAACAACAAAAGGACTTGTCACTGCGCAGCCTCCGAAGTCGTAGCAGATGCCTTGCACAGACACTGGCAGATTCTCGCTGTGAGGCATTCGGCCCCGTAGCTTGGAGCAGCTTTGAACATCTGGATTCTGGCCGACAACCGCCCTCTACAGTTGTACTTGCCAGGGCCAATCATCGGCAGAGACGAAACTGTTCTCCAAACAACAATGCTGTAATGATTACGGATGCGGGATCGGGGTGGACGTTAAAAGAGAATGCGGCCCGGCATTCATTAGGTTTTTTTGGGGGCCATTTGCCTTTTCGAGAAGATCCGCCAAGTTGCTCACGCCTTCGACCTGGCTCTCGATCTTCGACCTCTCGCGGACTCTGCGACTGCGACGAGAGTCGACCCTGGCTACTCCTTAAAGCCGACAAAAGCTCAGCTACTCCTTAAAGCCGCGGTGGGGCCTTGAGGAGCCTCCTACGAACAATGCCTACGTAGTGCAGGATGCCACCACCACCACCCACCATCTGTTTGGACTCTCACAGGACAAGAGACAAAAGCATTGAGATCCGAGAACTTTGCTTGCCAGGCAGCTGTTTGAGCATTTTCTCTGCCCACCTCTTCAACTCCACCTGCGAGATGCTGACGCTGGCGGATGCGACTTCCCCTTTTTTCTAGGCAGAGCTCCTACATGTGGCGACCCGAAGCTCAGGACTTTTGCGCTTGAGAAACCTCTCAGTCCACTTACACTCCAGAATTCCCTACGGAAATTATCTCAATCTGCTCCACAGCATCCTGAGCAGTCTCAATGTTCATGCAAAGCTTAAGATTGTGACAGTGTCATCGAAGAAGGATCGCCAGCCCCCGGTTTGGCCTCGTCTGTGCACTCCGGCGGAAGGCCTGGGGCGGGTGGAGTTCTTGGAATGATCTCATGGTGCAGAAATGCGGAGATGCGGGCCTTGAAGAAGCACGCAGAAGTCGCACATGCTCGTGCTCTCTTTGTCGAAACTGACAGGGCACATGAAATCGCTTCACAGGGATGCACAGCTTGTTGACTCCGGTACATTTACAACTCTCTTTTTGCCGTCTGATCAGAAAGCCGAACCCGAACAGAACACGCTCGGTCTGGATGTTCACAACGCAAAAAATGCAGAAAGGTATCGCTTGATCCGTCGTGAAATCGCGCCGACGCTTGTTGGTGTTGTTGTACTCTTCCCAAACCCACTGATTTGGAATTCTTGGACGTTGCTATATGCAGGGGATCGTGTGCCAGGCATGCGCCACTTGAGAAGACAGACATCCGATGCAGGATTCTGTCGAAGCTCATCTGGCCTTCTCGCAAAGATCTTCTGGCTGTGCACGAAGTACAGCGAGTAAGAGAAGAGCACCAGGTACCTAACAACCGCAGATCCGGACCGTCAATGGCTGCACGACGAACAGCTCAGACTCCAAGATCGACACAGGGAATGCACCGCTGGGCCACTGCTGGCTGCCATGCCGAACCCGCCCCTTTTCCCCGCAGAGTCACAGCACTCCCAACACCTTCGCACCTTGGCAGAGTCGGCTCGGGCTCAGATGCGACAGCTTCGTGCAGCTTGAGCATGTGCAGTTGTTGTGAAAGTTGCTGACAGTCCTACTTGAGAGTGGTACTACAGCACTCCCGGGTGGACTACCGTAAATCAGTTTCAACCTGTCTCCTGCTTCTTCTGCACCAAACACTCTCGGCTGAGCAGCGTGTCGCGGCATAGGTTTGCAGCTGCCTCGGTGTACACTGTCCAGCTCCTCTTGAAGCGGTGAGACCAACAAGGCAAAACCATGCGCGCTGCCAGTATGCACAGCTTCAGTACACGACAATCAGAACTACGGACCACTGCAACTAGAAGCATCCCCCTACAAGTCATTTTGCTGCCAGTTCTCACTACACACACACACACAATCACAACGGCCGGGCTTAACCTGCAATCACAGCAATCACAGTCTAGATTCTCGGCGATGACCGCGGGTGTCGTGTCTTCGCAAGTCCTGGGTCTGAGGCTTCCGAAACGGCTTTGGAGCTTTTAGAGACAGAGTGGAAACTCAATTGCAGACATCAAGCTTACATCCGTGAATATCGGCTACCGTCGCATGGCAGAATGCCTGGCACGTGCTGTTGGATGGCTCTACATCCTGGAATCAATGATTCGATGCTCGGGTGACCGACTCTTCCCTTGCCGAGCATCATCATGGGCGAGACAAGCACAGCCGGAATCATGGCCTCCTTCGCCTCCGTCTGCTGCAGGGCCTCTGCACAAAAAGCCCATGCAATCATCGCGAATGCTCTGCCATCTGCTGATAAACACGGGGGCCGCCGGGAAGCAGCAACAGAAAAAAGCGTGCATGCGTTCGCGTGCACTCGTCTCGACTACTTCCTGATGTGAATGGTGCAGTCGACCTGGTGCTAGCATTATCAGGCTTCGGCATCGATTATGAGGATGTTCCTGTACCATGAGTTGCTGCACAGTTCGGGGTCTGCCTGCCGAGGTCTGTTTACATTTCGTCCGCACCAAACGGTGTCCTAACTCTTCGCTGTCAAGAATAGGTCACACATCAAGTGCATTTCTGACTAGAGAAACGGTCATCGCGTGCTTTTTTCTGCAGACCGCGTGCGGCTCGCTTTTTCAGGCCCTCTTACCCCTGTAGTCCCTCACGGAGGTAACTGGAAGACAGGGCTGCTGGGTGGTGGGACTGGCAGCAAGACTAAAAGTGACTGTGCGACTGACAGAGAGGGAAGACAACGGGGACATTGCCCCCTTCTCTAGACATTTTGAAGATGATGTGCTGGTTCTGAGTCTGGTGTTAGGTTGGTGTCCTGAATTCTTTGTTCTTGCGGGCGCGGAAGACCTTGGGCTGTTCTGTTTCGAGCCATGTCGGTGCGGCGGAGCTTTGTGAAAGGGGGTCCAGCTGAGTCCCTGGAATTGAGTCGGTATATCCAACGCAAATTTTGTATTGTTCGTCCTCTTCAAGTCCTTCCATCTAGCGTCCTATATGCTTGTCGTCAATTTGCACAGGCTGAAGGTAACGCCAGGGCAATCTGTCGAGCTGCACGCTCTCTGCTATCTAGCTGACACGGCGACGGAAGACAAGCTGTTGCTGCTTGCTTGTGGTCCTTGCGATGCGGCATGCCCTTTTCTGTTGCCCCATGTTCCAGGCTAACGGTCAAAGATCCACTCGGAGTTGAGGGTTTGTGGCTCAAGACACTCACATTCACCTCAAGCTTCACGCATCTTCAAGCCGGGACCGGATTTTGTCAAAAAGCATCTGCGCCTGGAGAAGCTTCTCCGAACTGCTCGTCTCGGAGCTTTGCAGCACGTAACGAAGGCCGATGGAATCCTGAGCTGGGAAGCCCGGCTTCGTCTCCTTTCCCCATTTTAAAGTGGCACAAAATTGCAGATGAGGCGCAGAAACAATCCAGGAGGCAAAGAGCGTGAGCACTGCGACAGCGAAGATAAAACGAATGCCTGGAAGCAGACTCTTGTAAGGGCCAAGCTCCTTCCTTCCTACCAATCAGGGCTGAAATCGAGCTTCTGGTGCTTGGTGGTGGGACGCGGTGGGCTCAGGTGTGGTCCTTTTAAAAGGCTCTATGTACTGCATCTCTCTATTGACACGCTGTCCCAGGTGCCGTTGTAGTAGAGGCCCAGTCCCATCCCCAAGATGTTCTCTGAGGAAGTCGGCACCTTGCATCAGACACGACTGCAAAGAAAGCCGCTGAGGAATTCTGGTGAGTGTGCCTTTTGGGGTGCTCTTCCGCAGTAACTCGCAGAAATAAGCCGACACCATGCAACAAGTATGCTTGTTCGAGCTTTGCGACAAAGTGGGGGCACAGATTGGCTCTTCGTGTGCCGATGACATCCGAGCTGCTGAGAGCGGATATCTCCTTCGAGGTGTCTTTCCAAAGAGGTCCCAGCGATGCACCTTGCGATCACCACGGAGGTGGCACATGTATACTGTACTCATCTCGTTATCGCAGGCTGAACCAAAAACACGCTTGACGACCACACTCGCAAGGGTGTCATCGTTTCCGGACTACTGTGCAAGGCACCCAGCTCTCTCGGTCTTTGCAGGCGACCATCCCTTGTATGAAACTGGCAGCAGCAGCAGCAACAACAACCACCACAACGACGAGGGCAAGAAGGAGGAGGACAGGTGTATCGAGAGCACCTGTTGAACATAAAACATGTTCACGGACAGCTGCCTGGTGCCTGCTGCTAAATGTCGTTAAACATGCGATGCTCTACAGCTGCTTCTTTGCCTCAAAGGTTTCGAAGATGTCGCACAAGTTCTTGTGCAAAGCAAGAAGGAATTGCTTCACTCCAACTTGGCGCCTGGAGTAACATTTGTGCACAGGGGGAAAACACTGGCAAGTCCTTGCGACATTTTCTGCCCGTGTAATACGTAGTGTTTTCTTGTTTTACCCGGGTGATGCAACAAAGAACGCACGCCACAAACTGCAACAAGGCCAGATGCACACAACAAATTGCCAACAGACACGCCTGTCCCACAGACGTCATGGTTTGGGAATGGGAATGGAATGGATCTTGTTATGCACTGACGCCTTCATGATATGGCAATGTGAATGACATCCGAACAGATCGCAAGTTCCGGGCACAGTCAGCCAACAACGACTTCTTAAAGCCCGAGCACCGCCACCACCACCACCACCACCACCACCCCAAGAGACAACAACAATATCCCAAAACACAGGTTGCTGTGGCTGTTGGAAGCTGCCTTTGAGAGCCGCCGGTGACTTCGTCCAGCTTCGATGGATCGCTGATTGTCCTGCCAATTCTCGTTCCTGCGAAAGGGGGTGGAGGCCAGAGAAGGGTCCGGGATTCTGTCTGTTCAAGGTCTGCGTGCGTGCTCTTCTCGTGTTCCTAGGGCCTGCAAGGAGTGTCTGTAGGCACCGGTTTCGAGGGTTTCGGGTTAGGGCTCCGGTCCCCTGTCAGCTGAAGCACGAACGCCAAACTGACAGGCAATCTGCAAGGCAGTCTTTGAGCCAACGCAGCAGTAGCAGATGGCCAAGAGGATCAGCAGGAGGATCAGCAGGACCAGCACCTGAGCATGCCGAGTTCCACAAGGCTTCACATGCATGCAACAGCAGGAGAGCAACGATGAGCTGATTGCAAGCCCTTGCAAGCTCGACAGCGTCGAAGCTCAGCCCCTGGCTGCCATGACCTCGCACGAAAGTTAGCGGCAGCGGCTCTGGCTCTTGGGGACGGGGGGGGGGTGAATCCATGACGCTAGTAGTACTCGTAGTTGAAGCCCAGGAGCCATGGTTGCCCATCCACCAGAAGTCAGTGCGAACACGCACCTCCCACCCTGGCAAGTGCTGGGCTGGCATCATCTCGCCGTGCGTTACAGGGACAGCAGCCACGAGAGGAAGGGGAAGGCAAAAAGAAAACCGGAGCTGGATTTACACCCTCGACCCGAAGAGCAGCAGCAGCAGTGGCAGGAGTAGGAGGAGGAGGAGCAGCAGTCGTCGTCGTCGTCGTCGTAGTAGTAGTAGTAGTAATTTTGTAGGAACACCACCACGACCAACAACAACAACAGCAACAACTATTTTGCAATTGAACGCTGCGCGAGCGGGCTCTGCGCATGGCGGGCATGTTACCGAACCAAGCACTCACTAGGTGTGAAACCGATTGTGCTGTATTTCTCGTCTTGCATGCTGTTGCACAGGCGGCAGGAAGGACAATGCTGTCACCCACCACCACCACCACCACCGCCACAAAGACAAAGCTGCAAAGGCAGCCAGAGCGAAACAGTGCAGATTCTCGAACGAAGTTCCTGAGTTTGACGTTAGGTTTTGTTGTTGCCGACACACAACTTGCACATGTGACAGCTGAAAAACATATTTGACCATAAGTAGCGTAAGTCAGTTGCAGCAGGCACAGCGGCACAACCATGGTGATCCGCAACGACATGTGGCATCCACTTCTGGGTGACATACTCTCCACGCTCTTAAAACACGGACGTCACACAAACGGCCAAACGCACCGCACCTGCAAGGTAAAGCCCTCGTGACACTCAGCGCAGTGCGCGGGAGCGGTGCAGTATTTGCAGCCTGAGCGAGTGCAGAACCTTAGGTGAACCTACGTGCTGCAAAGACTGCGACGACTACGAGGAGTGCCTTAAACTTAGATGTTTCCTCCTCGTGGCTCTGGCTGTGAGAGCCATCACCGCTGCTGAGCTCAGTCCGGTGCCTACCACGGAGCAACTCGAGCAAAGGAGGTAGTCTTTGTCCTTAGAGGCATCTGGCTTCTTTCTGCCAGGCTGGACCGGAAACTGCTATCCTGGCAACTGAGTTCCGGACCGGGAAGGGTGTGTCCACGTTGCCTGAGCGAAGCAGGTATGGCGCTTCAATGGTTGCGTTGTATGTTCCAGTTTACTGTGCACTCAGCCTCGGCTGCTCTGTGGCAAGCTTGGACAGAAACAAGTGAATAGGGGGATGTGTTTTAGAGAATTCTGTCCTGAACATACTGCCCCGGACGAATCTGTTGGACGGCAGCACGACGGCAATGTGCGAAGCTGCTCGAAGCTTACTCCGCAAGATGCTATCTCTCCGAAGTGGTTGAATTCTATGTCACAAAGCTGGACACATCAGCCACAGTCGACAGAGCACCGAGGGTTTCAGACGTCGCACGAGAACAGGGAGGCAGCTGGCCTCAATTGATTACCTCCGCGTCATTCTCATCACGTTTCTGGGACGGCTTCCGGGGAAAACTTTCGCGCAGGATCTCATCATGTATCTGTGCACCGAAACCAACGACTCCTCTCGTGGACAACTCGCTTGCCTCTTCGTGTGTTGGATTTGCAAGTCACCGGTGATTGGACTGCTAAGGGAGTGTGCGAAACAAAATCGCCGCTGCCACCTCCCACTGCGCGTTTGACATCATTCCGGAATGCTGGACATCCAAGTGAAAGAGAAGGCAAGCAACGTCTCTTCGCACTGCCATGGACGGGACTGGACCTGCTTGCAGTCCCGGCTGCTCCCCGAGCAGCGGTGGGCGGCACGGCAGCTGAACATACACGGAAAGTGCCTTAATGGAAAAGATGTGACTTCTTGTGCTCTCGCCGCCTCGCCTCCGGTCTTCTAGATCTCCTCTGAAGCACGGCAGCACATGAAGATGAACGACATGACTTTAACGTACTCGTACGGATTGCCCCTCTAAGATACGACGCTCCGTGGCCCGAAGGTGCTGGCGAGAGGCAAGTCCGGAGACATGAATGGACACTCCTCGGCTCAGGAGGCAGAGAAGTTCAGAGCAGACCCTTTCAATCAAAGAGTTGCTCGAAGTAAGAGGCGTGATGCTCTGGTACCTGTTCAAGTTCCAGATTGAGAAGGGCACCTGTCCTGACAGTAAGACTCTCGTCCTACCTCTTCCGGATCCCACGACCATTCTTGTGGCTGACCCCGTGTGTGGTCGTCTCTGTCTGCTTCCTTTTCTGGTCCGGGAGCTCGCGACCGCAAGCCAGCACGGGAAGTTAGATATTTTCTAAGCAATAGCCAAAGTTTTCCGGTACGTACGAAGTTGAGGACACCATGAATTCGAACAACGTTCCCCTGCATTACGAAGCGTCATAAACAAATACGCAGTACGAAGCATTGTGCACAGACATGTTGGCGCAGGTGTGCAAGTCGTAACGTGATTGGGGGTTCAAGTCCTCTCTCTCTCTCTCTCTCTGGCTCCCTCCCTCTCCCTCAAGTGCTGTTTGTTCCTCTGTCTTCAGCAGCTTATCTTCTTGATCGGCGCGGCTCGGAATGGTGCATGCAGCCCATCTTCAACCGTTAGGTTAGGCCTGTTCCCACGGTACCAAGGATGCATCATAGTGACTGATGGGCACTGCATCTGCCGAAAGCTCAGGGTGCAGTTTGTGGACAGTCGCTGGTGACCTGGAAGTGTTGAGCAAAAACTTCGTGGGCTTTCTGATGGCAGCCGTTAAACAGGAGTACGCTGAGCGACACAATTTAGCCAGCTCTCAGCTTCCATGTTGATGAAATCGGCCAAGGCGCATTGATGCGGCTGTGGCATGATGTGTGATGCGTTGGCCCAGCTCATCAGGGTCTGCTGGTTGTCGAGCTCGGCCACAACACCACATTGACCTCAGCGGGCTTGCGAGGCATGGTCTAGAGATGTCTAGAGTCCAGAGTCCATGATTCACTTTCAGTTTTTTAATAGGCTAGGGTCTCCGAGTCTGCTCGACCCCGAAACCCCGCAGCTACCTGTATGGACGCATAAACTTACATAAAAATCGATGATCACCGCCAAGCCCCGATGCTCCCTGTCTCTGGTCCCAGCGGCCGGACTTGCCCTTCGATCTTCTGAAGACTCGATCCTGCACGGATGCTTCGTGAACAGCGAAAGTTGTGGCATCGCCACCGTGCCACACGAGAATTGGAGAAACAACACAGCGTTCTTACTGCGAGCAAAGCATCCAGGAGCTTTACAGCCTCAGGAGCATGGTCCAGCTGATCAGGAGGACATTGCCTGTGCCTGAACCCCCCGAGGCCGAGAACAGATCACCCTGGAGCCGAGGAGCTCTGGAGATCTCCTGCCACAGCGACGTTTGCAACGCGGCAGAGGGACCTCTCTGCAGGACCGCCTGGCCTCGATGTCCGCTTTCTCCCTCCTCTGGACGTCCTGAAGAAAGGGGAAGGCCGTGAGGTGCCCCCTTTTTTGGGGCGGTCGCCGCTCTAGCCCAGGCCTGCGAGCTTACGAGCTCCACCGTTGGGAGCTCCGAGTCTTTCTCCTGCGACGGACTGACGACGGACTTTCAGGCTCGTTTTATTTGGGGGCCGTGAAAGAAGGCATCTCACTGAGAACCGAGTTCCGCATGCCGCCGCATGCTCCAGCCCACACTGCTCTCCAACCCGAGCCGTCCTGGTCGGACAACACTTTCACCTTCGGCCGATCCTTCTCAGCCGCGCCAGCGAGCGCAGCGGCCTTCAGAGAGCAATGAGACTGATCTGACGCCTCCAACAACCTCAAGGTGATCAACTTGTGAAGGCCGACACGGGCGGTTTCGGTGTCAAAGTTTTAAAAGAAGATGTGAGAAAAGTCCAAAGACTCAGAATCGCTTGGGTTCCCAGCCGTGGCAATCAGAAGGACCCGCAGTCTTCTCATGCCTCTGCACAGGCTTTCTTTTTGTGCACCGTTAAATTCGCCGGATGCGTGCCGTCCCGGCCTCCCAGCCGCCAGCCTGATCCTAAGGGCCCAAGGCTGCCATGGATTCCCCCCTTTACTACCTTGAGAATCGAGCAGCTGGGGTTATATGATCTACTACAGTACTACATGTACTGGCCACAGACACTCCCACAGACTGAGACACCCGCTGCGCGGAGTTCATGGTTCTTGCAGCAACTGCTACCGGCATTCAGTCGTCAGTGTCTTTGTCAGGAACGGCCCGAAACTGAGCGTCATGCCTTTTTGAGACCACTGCGGGGTTTCACTGCTTACCTCAATCTACGTCTGTGGTGGCCCCGTCCTCGCGGGAACAACCTGGGAATGGCCTCACCTGTACAGTGCGCGACACCACGGTGAAACAGGATCGAGGGGCCCAAGCAGCAGCAAGTGCATACTGGCAATAGCACTAATCAGGTGCTGGCCGAGACGAATACGGAGTCAAACAGACATGGACATCAGAATTCAAGGCAGCCCGTCATGTTCTTGCCAAAAGCTGATGCTGTAGAACCTTATGCTGAGCAAATGTGCATATTCACAAACAATTCCGTGGTCCCGTCCAGGGCCCTTCGGAACAAAACCTGTGCAAAACTTCCGCCATTTCTGCGGCACTCATTAACGCACTTGCGACATGGGAGATGTGCGAAGGTTCCACTCCTTATGACTTTCACGTACAGCGATGCGCTGGTACATCAGGAACCCTTCCACCTGTCTCTGTCTCAGCTATGGCAGACGCTCCGAAGCTTCACAAATCACCCAGCTGCTTGTACCTGTCACGATGCCAACACAGCGGTAGTCTTCGACCCATTTCTGGGAAGCACTGCACATTCCTCTGCACAAAGTCAGGCTTGCCAAAGCCGCTATATGGTGTGACCAGCGTCATGCAGTGTCGCACTGTGCCATCTGCGATTGGACCTCCAGCATGACCTGTGCCAGAGACAAGCGTGTTTGAAGCGTCGTCGTGGTGGCCGCAATGCGTGCGGTAATGTTATAATTTTCTGCCGCTTTCCTTCAGTTGTTGCTGAAAGTGCTCCTTTTCCTCCATAGAAAGTAGTAGCAGCAGCAGCACTAGTAGAAGTAGTAGTAATAGCAGTGGTAGCAGCAATAATAGTAATGGTAATAGTAATAGTAATAGTAATAGTACTAGCACTAGCAGTAGTAGCAGTAGCAGTAGTAGTAGTAGTAGTAGTAGTAGTAGTAGTACTAGTACTAGTACTAGTACTAGTACTAGTAGTCGTAGTCGTAGTCGTAGTGGTAGTGGTAGGGGTAGTGGTAGTGGTAGTAGTATTAGTAGTAGTAGTAGTAGCAGTAGCAGCAGCAGCAGCAGCAGCTTCATGCACCTTTTAGCTGAGGTGGGGGGAGGGGGTGAGGGGGGGGGCTGATGACGACATGGTCTTCATGCCTCCTGTGGACTAAGGTCGTGTGGTTTAGGGTTGAGGGTTTCAGGTTTTAGGACTTTGGGCTTGCATTGCAACAGTCTTGACAACGTTGGGCTTGCACTGCCAGGGTCTTGTGGTTTAGGGTTGAGGGTGTTAGCACGTAGGACGTTGGGTTTGCAGTGCAACGGTGTTTCGGTTCAGGGTTGAGGCGAACAAACGGCCCCCGACCCGGAACACCTAAACCTGCGTAGCTGTGCCGGAGCCCATTTTAAACGGCAGTTCTACAGAGAGCCGCTGCCGAGGACTCGGGTGCGAGGAGTAACAGGAACCCGTTTGGTGAGTTCACTATATAGGATGCCAGTGGCAATACGCTCCTTGTCTCTGAGGCCACAAGTTGTTTCGTCAGATTGTTTTTGTCGAAGGAAGATGGATGTTGTATCTTACAAGAAGGGTCCGTACTAATGCAAGTCGACATTGTGGTACTACGAGATGTACTACGAGTACGACTGCTATTGGTTGCAGGGCTAGGCTTGTGCACGCCATCGTGGACTAACCAGCGCCAACTCTGCTTGTTTTCTGGGTTGGGGCTGAGGGTTTAGGCTTGCGGGTTTTAGGACTCTGCGCCTGTAGAGGTATTTACGAGGTTTGGGGGTTCAGAGTTTAGTGCTTAAGGGGTTTAGGGTTGACGGGTCAGGTTCAAGCCTTCAGGCATTTGCCAGTCGAGAACGGCTTTAAACATTCGAGAACGGCTTTGAGGGTTTGGGGTTTCGGTCAGCTCTTAGCACCAGAAGTAGGACGAAGAAAGAAGTGACGAGACTACACTCAGGAGCCTTCGTCATACGGTCGTGCACACAAGTCACGAAACTTGCAGTTTCACTCGCAACAGACACATGCAATGCTATTCTGGAGCATTAGCGGCAATACCGATGCTGTTGCCATCGAAAATTCAGGACAAAGGTTGCTGTGGACAAAGAAGGTCAGATTCTAGTGCTACATGACATGACGTTCTGAAGCCGTATTTGTGGGGGACCGGAAAGCGGTCCGTGAGTTGGCGGGCCCACAAGTCACTTTTAGTTTCAGAGCCCCGCACTAGCTCCTGTCACGAGGGGTGGCCTGGGGGGTACGACAGGAACTGATGGTTGATGCTACGGGATCGGTCACCGTTCCTGTTACGGGCTCCCGTTGTGGACATCTTGTTATCGCTAAGGCAAACACTCTCGAGGACTCGCACTCACCACATGCACCATCATCATCATGATCACCATCAATGATCACCATCAATGTCCTTAGTAACAATTCCAACTACTTGGATCGAAGCTGGCTTAACTTCATGTTACAGAAACTCTGAAAAACCCTGCCAAAATAACCCTCAACCACTCAAAACTACCAGGCGCCCAGAGGCACGCAACTCTGATAGTAGCGGTAGTAGTGGTACTCGTCGTCGTCGTCGGGTAGGTGGGTAGACAGGTCGGTAGGCAGGTAGGTGGGTAGGTAGGTAGGTAGGTAGGTAAGTAGGTAAAGTGGTAGTGGAGGCAGTAGCAGCAGTAGTAGCAGTAGCAGCAGTGGTAGTTTCAGTGGTGGTAGTAGTGGTAATGATTACTACCATCGATAGTAGTATTGAAGTAGTAGTAGTAGTGGTAGTAGTAGTAGTAGTCGTCGTCGTCCTCGTTGTCCTCGTAGTAGCAGTAGGAGTAGCAGCAGCAGCAGCAGCCGCAGCCGTAGCGGTTACTCGTGCTGCTGCTGCCGCTGCTGCTACTACTACTACTACTACTACTAGAAACAAGAGAGAGTATCGCAATCACAACACTTGTGGAAGAAACAATATCTGGACTCGACGCTGCGAGAGGAAACTGAACTGTGAGACTGAGCCTTAGCGGTGTACTGCGCTCTAACTACATAGCAAAGGTAGATTTTGGGTTTAGGGCTTAGGGTATATTTTTTTCTATATACAGACATATATATATATACATACATACATAGAAAGGAAAGGTAGGTTTAGGGTTTAGGGTGTGTGTA